ATTTGGAGCGGGTGTACTTCAAATAGCACGTTCAATTCGCCATTTTCTACTGGCATCTGGGGAGTTGTGTGTATGTGTGTATGTATGTATGTATGTATGTATGTATGTATGTATGTATGTATGTATGTATTCAGCAACCAAGCAAGCTTCAGTGCTGAAATTTCGCCTGTGGGTTCCTGGTCTAAGTGCCATTTCTGGACTCAGTACCAGTTCTCACGCGCGTCTGAGCCCAGTGCACGAGCACATGAAAGTGCTAGCTTAAAAATTGCTAACTTGGGAACCAGAAAAGCTGGGGGCTGAAATTTTAAGGAGACATCTCCCATTCACGTACAACATAATTCAAAATCAGCCCTCAGATATCTGTAGTTGTCACGTACGGGCATGTGAAGATCTTGGCGGGAAAGTTGCTAACTCGGAAGCTGGAAAGGGGATACTTGAATTTTAGCGGAGTATCCCCTGCTCAAGTACGAATTAAGCTTTTCAAGTTCAGCCTCCAGATATGCGTGGTTCTCACGTACGGATATACAAAAGTTTTGACGGGAGATTACACACTGAGCAGCTAGTTCATTTCCAAACTCAGGCTGGGACGCACTAGGCTGTCAGTGCGATACTTGAAGCAATCAAGTCGTTAACTGTATGAATGGTTTATGCTTTACATTTACTTTGCGGGCTCACTAGCGTAAATAATGCTAAATTTTGCATAAAGGAAAGTGAACAAGTCCCGCCTAACGGTCGTTTTTTGAGGGTTAACTAGCTGGTAAGTGAGTAATTTTTCCAGCAAAAAAAAATTTTGAGTGTCCGTATGTGAGAACTTCGCAAACCTGGTGGCTTAATTTGAAGTCTTTAAGTTCTATGAGGCTGGAGGCACACCTTCAAAATTTCAGCATTCTAGCTTTTCTGGTTCCGGAGTCAACAAATTTCCCGCCAAAAATTTTCACGTGCTCGTACGTGAGAACCACGCACAGCTAAGAGCTCCTTAAGTCTCTTGAAATTTGCTAAGAGCTCTTGAAATCTTTAGGTTCCTCACGGGCTAGAAACATCCCCCTAAAATTTCGGCCTCTCAGCATTTTTTGTCCCCAAGTTAGCAGTTTTCCCGCCAAAAATTTAGCGTGCTCGTACGCGTGGCCCACACATGCGTAGAGGTTGGTATCGGGATCCTGGGGTTACACTCGGCCAGGGAACCTGCTAGCAAAATTTCAGCGCCGAAGCTTGCTTGGTTGCCGAGTGAAATACCCAGACACACACGCACGCAACACACACAGCATGGGTCGACACAGTATGCGTTTTATGCTGCGTAATAGCAGTACAAAACGCATATTGTCATGGGGTTGTCTTTGTGTGTGTGCGTGTGTATGTATGTATGTGTGTGTGTGTGCGCGTGTGTGTGTGCGCGTGTGTGTATTGTGTGTGTGTGTCTTGTGTGTATGTGTGTGTGTGTGTGTGTTGTGTGTGTGTGTGTGTGTTGTGTGTGTGCGTGTTGTGTGTGTGTGTGTGTGTGTGTGTTTATCCCACATTTTGTCCTGCACTTTCAATTCGGGAACCACAAAAACTTGGCGGCTGAAATTTTAGTATAGTGTTCCCCGCCAACGGATGACACGGCAAATTTAAATTCAGCCTTTCCGTATCCGCGGGTAACACTTACGGCCCCGTAAAAGTTTTTCGGGTAAAATCAGTATCTCGGAGACCACAGAAGCTGGGAAGCTGAAATTATATGGTTATGTCCTTTGTCCACGTGCGATCCAGAGAACTTAAACTCAACTTTCTTGCGCCTGCGGGTCACACGCACGGGCTCGTAAATTTTTAGCTGGGAAAAATCATTGTCTCAGGAACCGCGAAGGCTAGGAAGCTGAAATTTTATGAGTATGCCCCTTGACCACGTGTAACCCAGAAAATTTAAATTCAGTTTTCCCGTGTGCTTGGGTATCACGTACGGCCGCGTGAAAGTTTTGGCGGAAAATTATCTCGGAAACTATGAAAGCTAGAAGGCTGAAATTTCAGGACAATATTTTCTGCTGCTGCAGCTATCTCACAAGCTCAAATATAGCTCCTAAGTATGCAGAGATCTTACGTAAGACCACGTGAAAACTGTGGTGCGAAAGTCGCTAGCTCGGAGGCCGAAAAACTACAAGGTTGAAATTTGGAAGGATGTTCCCCATCCATGTTTTCAAATTCAGCTTTCACGTACTAGCACGTAAAATTTTCAGTGAGAAATCCCTTATCTTAGGAGCCAGACAGCATATCTATTGTTTTTCCATATACGAAAGTGTAAAACAGTTATATTTTTAGTAAGCAAACGTCCGCTGGACGAAACTGCGCGAAACTCATGATTGCACCCTGGTGCGCTTCGCTATTTATTGCATTTGCATACTTGAAAAAACGCTTAAAAACGACCGTTAAAGGAAAATTGTTCACTTTCTTTTATGCAGAATTTACAATGATTTATGTTTGTGAGCGCACAAGGTAAATGTAAGGCAAGAATCATTCATACAGTTAACCTCTGACTGCTTCAAGTTTAGTGCAAAAACGCATGATCGCACCGCAAGCTTGGTGTGTTGCCGTCTAGCGTATCGTTGTAGACCTGCTGTATCAGTCATTGCCTCTGTCTTGTCATGATGAAACGTACGGTTTGGGCCTCACGGATTTGTTTGACCTTTCAGGAGATGATGTGGAATTTTATGACTATTCTTCTGTTGATAACGTGATTTCACGAGAGTATGAACGAATGCGTGATCAGGATATGGAAGACGCATATTTTGAGGATGAATGACTAATGGCCAGCTGTTGAGCTGCCATTTAGGATTAGGGAGAGGTCAGGGATTTGTATATACGTTTTGATCTTCAAAGAAATAAAGAGTGTAGTGAAAGTCTGGGAGAATTGGACCCGGAATGTTTTCCCAGTGTTTAAATATTTTCTGCTTTTTTGTAATCAGATTTCGTTGTACATGAATAACTCTAATCTAGTATTTAGTAGCATTTTGCAGGATGTCAAGCAAGCACTGTAGGCTTAATGAGTGCTGAATTCAAAACTTAGCATATTATGCTTCTCCGGCATCATATGTTTGCTTTTTCGTTGTATGTGTTGTAGTTTGTTTCTTAAACCGTTTGTACCATAATAAATTCTCGAGAATGTTAGGTCTATGGTGTTACAGAAATTTTAGGGATAGATGCCGGGAATGCTACCGCTTGAACCAATTATAAGGCAGTAACCGGCAGAAATGCCCATTTCCGCTGCAGCTGATGAAAGAATTAGTAGAACACACGCACGAGAATCTTAGCACCAGTCGTTTGAAGTTGCGCCATTTCTGTTTTTGTGTACTGCTTACTTGAGTGTGGTTGGGGAGTGCTTGCTTTAGTTAAAGCAG